TCATTAACAACCACAGCTAAAAGAAAAACAAAAACAAACTAAGCAAACAGCTACAACAGGGAAAAAACCACAGAAATGGAGATCACATGGAGGGTTAGCAACAGGGGAGTGGGAGGAAGGGAGAGGGGGAAAAGGTACAGAGTAAGTAGCATAGACGGTAGGTAGAAAATAGACAGGGGGAGGGCAAACATAGGTGGGGAGGGGTTGGAGGGGTTGGAGGGGCAGGCTGGAGGGGAATGAAGTGGGGAGGAATGGGACAATTATAATGGCATAATCACTAAAATATATTTTTAAAAAGAGTAGAAATGAATTTGGACATTTCTCCAAAGAAAATATGCAAATGTCCAATAAGCTCATGAAAAGATCCTCACCCTGCTGGTGTGGCTCAGTGGATTGAGCACCAGCCTGCGAACCAAAGGGTCTCCGGTTCGATTCCCAATCAGGACACATACCTGGGTTTTGGGCAAGGTTCCCAGTAGGGGGCGCATGAGAGGCAAGCACACATTGATCTTTCTCTCCCTCTCTCCCTCTCTTTCTCTCTGCCCTCTCCTTTCTCTAAAAATAATAAATGAAATCTTTTAAAAAATAATAAAATCTTAAAAAAAAGAGAAGATGCTCAACATCATTAGTCATCAGGAAAATGCAAATCAAGACCACAATGAGATACCACTTCACACCCATTAGTATAGCTATAATCAAAAAGCCATACAATAAGAAGATTTGTGAAGCATGCGGAGAAATCAGAACTCACGCACTGCTGGTGGGAATGTAAAACGGCTGCAGTCACTTCAGAAAATAGTGTGGCAGTTCCTCACAAATTTAAAAAGTTATCATTTGACTCAGCAATTCCATTCCTAGGTATGCACCCGGGAAAACTGAAAACACATCAGCCCACAAAGTTGTATGTGAATGTTCACAACAACTCTATTCACAACACAGACGTGGGAAGGACGAAAATGTCCACCACTGAGTGAACAGGCACAGAAAAGGAACAGAGTGAGGACACATGCTGCAAAGGGGATGAACCTCGAAAACATTATGGTAAGTGAAGAAAGCCAGGCATGAAAAATCAGACTGTATGATCCCATTTATAGGAAATATCCAGAATAAGTCAATCTACAGACAGAAAGCAAATCAGTGAGTAACAGGGAGACTGGGAGATGACTGCCAAAGGGTATGGGTTTCTTTTCAGGGTCATAAAACTGTTCTGAATTAAGATAGTAGCGCAACTTGGCGAACACACTAAAAACCACTGAACTGTACACTTTGAAGCTGTTATTTTAAATATGAGAAAACACATGGAAGGCCCTGGCGATGATGGACAAGGGTGGAGGAACCAGTGTGCGCTCCAAGAGAGGCTCTCCAGAATGCTTCCTGACTCCTCAAATGTGGTGGCTGTACCCACCTGGCCCTCAGGTAGTACAGCAGGTGGTAGCCAATCTTGGGCTGCTTCTGATACAGCTCAGAGAGAAGGTCCAGAAGCAGTGAGAAGCTGCTGTTGTCTTCCTGCATCTGGCATAGGTTCCTGGAGGTGGGAGACGGGAGGAAGGGAGCAGAGCTTTACCTTGGGCAGAGTCTCCTAGGAGCCTGAGGAGGCACGACCTACTTGTGCCCACTGCATGCCCCTTCCTTCCTAGAAAGGGGGTCCCATTACCCCAGGACAGAAGCACATGTGTGCTATGGATGGATGGCAGAGCAGTGTCTCCTACAGTTAGATACTCACCTAAATATTAGGTAGAGGGGCTTCCCCACAGATTCCTCCAGGGACCTACAAGAGGAAGGTGATATATGAGTCCAGGTAAGCAGAGAGGGTGGGCTGCAGGCAGTTATCATGGAGGACCAGCTTGAGGCAAGATGCTGCTGGCCTGCTCTTCTCGTAACTAAAAGTAAACATCCTGCTGCTCTAAAAGGCTTGGTCATGGGGAAACTACATCTAGGTTGTCATCGTCACTGAAAGTAAGATTCTTGACCTTTAAGAAGGATCCAGGAAAGGGTCCAGTCCCACCTGAAAAGCTGCGGGGAGCAGGGGAGGGGGGTTGGCCAGGACGCACAGGGTTAGGGCTGCTAGTCCACTGCCCCAGAATGCTCAGCTTTCAGCAGGCAAAAATAAATCCTTGTTTAAATGCATCAGTATGTGTGAGAATAAAAAAAATCAGTTGAACGGATTATTTTTCTCAAGTCCTCAGCAAGGTGCCCCTTGGACTCAGGCTGTTAGAGCCTTCTGGCTCCCAAAGGCTTGGGGGTCAGAAAGACAAATCTTACTCCTCTGTGACCTCCTCGGGCAGCACCTCCCCTCGGAAGTGGGCCTTGAAGAGCTCCTGCAGGCAAGACGCAAGGACAGACAGCTGCTCCGAGTCAAAGTCTTCCTGGGTAGTGAGACAAGGGACGGAGTGTCACCACATCTAAGTCTTGCTGCCCCCACTACCCAGACTCATCAGCTTCCACCTCCAGGATCAACCAGCCCCCTCTGCCCCACAGAAGGGACCCACTGGACGAGGGAAAGGAGCAGATCAGTTGCCAAGGGGGCTCAAAGCTTGGGAGGCTGGGCTGCTTCCTCCCTAAAGTGATGGGTTCCTTCTTACCTCCAGGACCTGGTCCACAATTTCCTGCATGACCTCGCACTGGGCCTCTGTATCACTACAGTGCAGAAGTGAGAGGAAATCTCAGGGATGTAAATGACAGCAGAGGGCAGGACACACACCCAGAACAGCAAGCACACTCACACGCATAGAGACAAAACAAAGGAGATCTGTGTAAATATGGGCTTGTGTGTGGAGGCTTGGGGCAGAATCAGCTGCTCTCTGGTCAGAGGCGCACACAGTAGAGAAAAATCCCCACAATTCTGCTGCAAAATTCAGAGGCTCAAAACATACAGAGTGAGAACCCTGTGTGCTGAGGAATGAGGCAGCCCCATGCCAAGTCCATAGATTTGCAGAAGACATCCTTATGTATCTTCAACTACCTCTCCATATACTTCCCACATCCCCTCCACCACACCACCCTACCACCCCACCAAGCACCAGGTGAAGAGGCTGGGGCTGGATGTCCCAGGACTGAGAACAGAGGTACGCCTACCTGCCCTTCTGTAGCTGGAGCACTTTGTCCCTTAAGGACTCATCCAGCTGGTCAAGGTAAGGGGTGATATCAACCGGCTCCTCCACAACTGTCTCCTTGATAGGGTGGAAGCGAAACTCTCTCTTCTTTCCTGAAGGAAGTAATGTGGGAAAGAAGTCACTCTGCCTAGACACCAGCAACGGAGGCGGCCCCCTGAACAACCTGTACTTCCTCACACCGCACTCAGTGCTGTGCGCATGCCCTAGCCCTGAGGAGCAAAAAGGCCAGCAACCACTTCACCTTTTCCCCTCCTGCTTCAGTGCCAAGTGCAGGACTCGGCACCTTGGAGTCTCAGCCAGTATCCCTGTTAACAAAACTAACACACAGAGGCAAAGGCGACAGACAAACCACGGAGAGGCTGCTCCTGCCAGTGGGTCCTCTGAGGATGACACACCCTCAACTTCTCTTGCTTATGGCCTCACCTTTGCTGTTGAGATCCTCCTCATCATCACTGAAAGCTGCCTCTGCATTGTCATAGCAACTCTCATCCTTGTCTGACATATGGTTGTCCATCTCCATGGAAACTGGCTCCTCAATTTTCACTTGGGAAAGAAAGACCAGATATTTAATTATCTCCTGTGTCCTCTAACATGTCCCAAGCTTAGAGGACTGAAGGGCAAGTGAGAAAATAAACAGTTCATGACCTAAATGGAATACGAACCCTGGGAGGATAAAGGTCTTACCCTCCCAACCCTCCAGGACTTGCAGTGAGATACCGCCAGGAATAAAACCTCACAGGTCATGACTTCTCTATGCTCCACTTAGGATCAGTATGTAGATAAGACCAAGGACAGTCCCAAGTGCTCTTTAATTTTAAACCAATTGGGAAGTTTTACTTGGCTTAACCCCTCCACCAAAACAAAAAGTGTGTGCATCTGGAATTGGGAGGAAGACTTGAGACCCAAACCTGACAGCCTTTCCCCAAGGCCAGGCCCCTGGCCTCAGAAAAGAAGAGGTGGACAAGATCTAAGTAAGGTAAACACATTCTATGAACATCTCTCCCTACCAAAGACAGGCTAAGAGGTAAAAGAAGAATTAAAGAAAGATTAGCTCAAGGCAGGTAAGACTAGATGGAGAGGGAGAACCAGGAAGACAACATAAAAATGAGTTGAGAAGAGACCTGGGTGAGGGGAACAAAGGCGAGTGTCAGAGAGGCAGAGAGCTGCACAGGGTGGGCCCTCAACAGGGGTCTGCTTGCCTCCCAGAGCTCTGAACGCCTCCATTTCCTGAAGCAGCTGATGAAACGGGAGGGTTCCATACCTTCCACAGGTGGGCTGGGTGAGCTGCAGAACTCAGGAAACTTCTCCCTCAGCATTGCCCGCAGCTCCTTATCCAATTTAGGGTTGTCAAACAGGGGAGCCAGATGCCTGACGGGAACATGAACGATGGTCAACATCAGAGCTCCTTGCTTCTAACTTGACATGGAGGTAACGGTCTAAGCCCAACAAGTACAACTGGGCTATGTTGCTCAGATCCTCGGAAAGGTACCAAGGGGACAGGGAAGGCATTTGACATCCTTTGTAGTATGGCAGGAGGGACAGATCCTTAAGAGTCAAGAGAACATATGCCCAGCTGTCTGAGGCAGAGCTAGTACTTTTCATACCTCTCAAGGTAAAGGGTCAGCGGTGGTACGGCAATAGCTGGATATGCCCGACCTAGTGAAAAAGAAACAACCCTCCCCTCTGCCCGCAGACACTGAAAGTCCTTACGCCAACACCCGTTTCTCCACAATGTGGTTGAGGGAGGAAAAGACACCCTGTCGCACATGGCCCTCCAGTGGTGGATAGAAGTTGGGGATGATCTGGAAGGGAAGAAGGGGTGGAGAGAATGAGCAGGGGCTTTCCATTCAGTGTCCTGCTGAACTAGATCTAAAAAGCTGCCTTAAAAAAAAAATGGAATGCTTCATGAGTTTGCATGTCATTCTTGCAGAGGGGACATGCTAATCTCTGTATCGTTCCAATTTTAGTATATGTGCTGCCAAAGAGAGCACAAGCTGCTTTGCTTTTGCTCAGGGGACATAAGAGTATGCCTGCAGAAAGGGCTGGACTGTTCCTGACCATTCCAGGCTGCAAAAATGGGAAACCTACTGGACATGGCTGTTCCTCAGGGAGACTAGATTCTATGTTAAGTCATCATCCCTGAGGCTGAGAAACCTCATGGAGACATGGCAAGACCCAACTGGAGATGGTGGGAATAAGAGAAGCATTCACTAACTTGGGGGGATGGGAACTACAACTACTTTTGCTCTCATAGTCAAGGGGCACTGGGAAGACCTCTTCACTGACCTAGAAGGTTGGAGAGGACACACACTTAACTCTGCTCAGCCAGGCATAAAAAGAGAGCAATGGCACTTACACGACACATGAAGTCCAAGAGTGTGGCAGTGATGGCTGGGTGGGGCTTCATGGAGTGATGCATAACCAGGATGGCTGGCTCTGGAGAATATGGAATTAAAAGGACCCCCACATCAGAGAGTCTGTTCCCAGCTCTATAAACCAAGTGATCAATATACATGAATGGCTCCAGAGAGCTGAGTCTATCATTGGCCCCTATTCCCACTGAGCAAATCCAAAAGCAGACAACCCCCACGAACAGCTGGTAGGCCTCACCTCCCCTCTTGTCCCCAGTACTCAGCTTGGAGGAGGGAGTTAGGAGAAGAAAAGCAGGATGCAATGCGGCCTATTCCTCTGCAGAGAACCCCCGCCCCCACCCTGAAGTCCAAGCGTCAGTCTACAGGGAAAAGCGGTGGAGTGTGGGCCTCATCAAAGTAACTTTCCTTCTAGGTCAAGGGAACACTGATGAAGAACAACGGAACTGCTCCCAGATAAGCCGCCTCCAGTCCACGCTGCCCTGTGATTTATGACGGCTATCACTGAGACTTGGGGTGAGAGGGGTTGAGGGGAGGGCTGGAGGGCAGCACTGCCTGGTATCAGTCACATACCTATGTTCATAATGCTATCCTTGTCTGGGCTAAAGAACAGCCAGTCGTAAAACAAAGCCAGCTTGGCATTAGAGGCAGCAACATTTGACTAGAAGAGAGAAGGGGGAAAGAAGAGGGCTAGCCTCATCAACCAGCTTCCTTCCCTTCTGGAGCCCAAGACAGATTCCAGGGCCCACAATACTGCCCCATCTACAAAATTCGGTTCCTCATGAGACAGGGAGGAACCTCCACAGGAGTAAGGGACACCCAACTACAAAAAGGAGTATGAGTACCCTGTGGCCTCACCAACCCAGGGGCTGAGGCTTGGTCTGGGGTCTCGCACCACCAGTAAAACACACCCTGATCCCATCAGGGAGGACACCTGGGTCTTTGAGTCCTTGGTCATCCCTGAGCTGAGATAGCACTAGTCTGAGCCCTTGTTGGACTCCGCAGGCACATTCCTGAGAAGAGAGATCCCTAGGAATCGCCTGCCATTCTGTCTGAATCAGCACATTCCAAGGACCCAGTCATCAGATGGGGGAGCGGAAGCCCTGTTAAAAGAGGTCAGAGGGCAACTAAATGCCAGGAAACATAATGTCCCACCCTGGACACAGGAGGAAAACAACGGGAAGGAGATGGCTCCACTGCGAATTCACTGCTTTTGGAGAAGAGAAATCCAAAGCCAATCCCAAAAGGCACGGAAGTGCGGGTCTGAGGAGCACAAGCCCTGGATCTGAGAGGGGCACAGCCACGTGTGATTTCTAGAAGCAGGGATGCCTGGTAGGTAACCCAGGCCTGGGGACTGGCAGTAAAGGCACAACTGGACCTGTTCAACCTCAAACCCAGGTGGGAAATAATGAGAGCAAGTATATTTTTAGAGACATGAAGGGAGGGGGCCAAAGGCTAAGACAAGAGACAGAGAGTGAAAGAGGGCCACTGGGGGTCGGGGGCTTGGAGAGTCAGAAAGAAGTGTAGAAATATGGGGAACATGAGGAAAGAGGGACCCTTTGCCACCCAACAGCCTCCATGGTCTGGCCTCTCACCGTGCATGTTGTCAGCAGCCAACCAATGATGGCCCATCGGGGCAAGATATCTGAACTCAGCACTTCATTAGAAGGGTGAACCACCCCACAGATGTAGCGAATGAGGTCACAGCGCAAAGACTGACTATCCGGGGTGGACAGGTACTGGCGCTGGAACCAATCCTGGTAGCGCTTTTGTTGACCAAACCGCACCTGGGGGAAGGGGACATCGGAAAAGAAAACTTGGAAGGGAGGGTGGGGTCTTTGGGCAGAGGAAAACGAGCACCATTCAACTCAAGGCTTGACCTAGACCTCAAATTCTTCCCATACCTTATTCATTATCTAATACTGTCTCTCAAGTCTCCCCTCCTTTGGGAAGACTTCCTGATTTAAATATTCCTTGTTTTTATTATTTGTTATTTTAATTAATTTATTTATTTTTGGAGAGGGGAAGGGAGAAAGAGAGGGAAAGAAACATCAGTGTGTGGTTGCCTCTCAAGTGCCCCCCACTGGAGATCTGGCCTGCAATCCAGGCACGTGCCCTGACTGGGAATTGAACCATTCACCCTTTGGTTTGCAGGCCTGCACCCAATCCACTGAGCTACACCAGCCAGGGCTGTTTATTGATTTTAGAAAGAGAGGAAGAGAGGGAGAAAGAGAAAGAGAAACATTGTTTGGGTGCTCCCCATAAGTGCTCTGTGACGGGGGATCAAACACGCAGCTTTCTGGTGTATGGGACGACGCTCTGGCCGACTTAGCCACACCAGCCAGTGTGACAATCCTTGTTTTCAAATAAACTCGGAAAGTCACGTGCCAGTGATGCACTCACTCTTGCCACTGATCTAATGTCACATTATCCGCAACTGCAGTCCACTTTTGACTCCTTACTCCTGTACTTGTCACTGATTCTGCAGTCATAAGTTATCTTTTCTTTTCTTGAGCTACTTGTGAACAGCAAGCAATGTTCCTTGAAAACAAGAGCTAAGTCTGTTCACCACTCAGCAATGACTGAAAGCTTTCTGACACTAAATGACTTCATAGGCTCATTATCCAAGGTACACGGAACCTCCAAATCTTCTTGCAGTTAAGTCCTTCCCCAAATATGCTGAATGTGGATACAAACAGCAACACTAAGTAAGGGGGAAGATCTGGTTTTCCTCTTCTATTCCCCAAATTCAACCAAAACAGGAAGCAGAAGAGTTAATAAGACACACACAAACACACACAAAAATCGAGACCAACGTTGTCCAATAAAACTTTCCACAATGATGGTGGCTATTGAACACTTTAAACGTACCTATTGCAACCGAGGTACTGAGTTTTTAATTGTACTTAGTTTAACTATTTAAATTGCAACACATGGCTAGTGGCTACCACATGGGACAGTCCTCCTGGATGATTTGCAATTGTTGCCTAGAAATTCTGTTAAAATACAGGTTCTTCAGATTCTCTGGGAGGGTAAGATGCAGGAAGATGGATTTTTCAGATGCTCCACAAGCAATTCTGCCATGAGTCATCTTTGGAAACCAAAAGACCAGAGCTCTCTTCCTGAGAGCTCATGGTTTACCCAGAGTGGGTTTTTCAGAATAAACCTTCTCACTCTACCCTTTTATATAGCATAGTTCAAAGTTGTAAATCACATTATTAGTTTCGTGACTGCTTCAGATAGGCTGGAAGCTTCGCAAGAGTTGGAATCGTCTTTCTTATTCAACACTGCATCCTAATTCTTAGCAAAACCAGGCAGACCATAGGCACCCACCTGACCAGCGTTCCACCAGTCAATTCTCAATGGTGACCAACTGGGGGGCTGAAGGAAGAAGCCCGGCTAGTGCCTGCAACTTCTGCCAAAATAGGTGAGCTTACCCGGGAGGTCATGAAGAGTAGCTTAGTCTCCATGTCTGGGGTTAGACGACATGCTAGGAATTTTCGGGATGTCCTTGACTGAAGAAGCTGCAGGATACCTGAACCAAGTGTAGAAGGAAAGAGAAAAGAGAAGCTTGGGGACCAGGAAGAATGGAAGGCAGGTGGGGAACCTGGGCCAAGTACTGATGGCCAGTGATCTTACTCATGGAGAAACTGTAAGATAAGACCAAGAGAGTCAAGAATAGGTACAACCAGCATCTGTATGCTCTGCTGCAATGAACCACCACGATCTCCAGCACCCAGATATACTAATTCTTTTCTACTGGCCATCACATTATTCTAATTGGCAACATTGAGAAAGTTAGGTAGAAAATACGGGAAATCCTAGCCTCTCTTCCTGCTCCCAGTGGTCCGGGCACCGGGTCTAGGATCGATGGGGTGTGGTGGCGTAAGCACAAGCTCTGCAGTCAGACAGACCTAGATCCTGCGTCTGACACTTACTAGCTGTGTGGCCTTGGGCAAATTACTTAATCTCCTTGAACCTCATTTTCTTTATCTGTAAATACAGAAAGTAAAATATCCATCTTACAGGGAGGTTCTGAAGATTAAATAAGTTAATATACATGTGCCCAGCACTCAGTGGGCACTCAAAACAACTCAATACACGTTCAGTGTAAGAGCTGCACAGTATCAGGCAGAACCACGACTTCCCTCTTTTCTTTTTTCACTGTCCAGATCCTGCCCCTACTGCTTCCATGTGATGTGTGCTTCCATGTGTCTACACACACTACATGCACACATACATGTATGTTGGGGGGGAGCAAAGCTATATAGTTATTATTTAGAACATAGACAGGAACCCAAGAAGGAGAAAGGGACATGGAAAGGACCTTGTCAGAGGGGGCACACAGGGCCTCTTTCCTTCCCCCAAAGAGGATTTTGACCAAGCTGGATCCTTGGAATTCAGAGGCAAGATAGCTCCTGGGAGGGACCTTCTCTTACAAGACTAATTCCAGCCCCTTGCTGACTCAGTCTCACGAGCTGACCTCTGACTCCCCTGTTGGACTCAGTGAAACTGGAAACTGGTCAAAAGCTCACCTCCTGAGCCAAACAGTTCCGGGAGAGGGGAGGAGAAAGGTCCTAGTTCTCTGTCTCACATTTTCTTGGGAGTAATGATAGCTGAAG